CCGCTTTGTTTAAATTACTCATAAAAGTTTTGAATGGATGACAATTTCACTTTTACGTGATATGCAAATAAAGGTCTTGGATTGAAAATCAATCTTAGGATGAAAATTGAAATTATGAGTTTCAATTTTATTTATGGCACATAATATTTTATTATGTGAATAATGTACATATTTATTAAAATTAATAAAAAAATGTTGTGAATGATTAATAACAATTAAAGATGTTATTTATTTGAAATTAAGCATTATAAATTTTGTTAGTCACCAAAGTGGCCAAAATTTTAAGGTTATTTTGATTTCAAATTATTAATGATTTTATTTCAATTACCCATAGTATTAATGCTAAAATTATGAATAATGATTTATGGGTTAATTGAAGTTCATTATTATAAGGCATTTCAGGATCACCCAAAGGTTGATTAATTGTTATTATAATTAATGAACATGAAAGTAGATAATTTTGTGTGCGTCACTAGTTTTATTTATATACCCAAAGGTGTTAGGTGATTCTAGTTGATGCATATTTTAATTATCATTAATGTTATAAAAAGATTAGCGTAATTATGTTTGTGTATTAGTGGATCTCCCAAAGGAGAACATTAGTATGCATAGAATGATTATTTATGTTTGAATATGTATTTATGTTTAGTTTTTATGACTCAAAGCGTTAATGTTAGACATGTGTTAATTGAAGTATTTGTTTATGTATTTCTACATTCGCTTACTTCGTCTGTTCTAGTCTTTAATAGATTAAATTCCCTGATTGGAGTGAGAAAGTCCAATTTCACCTTGAATTTTGATTTGGCTTTCCAAGTTGAAAAATCGGTTGTTATAACTAATGCTAGTAGCAACAAAGAGAAAACTCATTATAGAGTTTGGAAAAGGTCAAACAGACTTAGTCTTATGTTTATGCGAATGAGTATTGCAAGCAATATTAAGTATGTTTTGTCCAAAACTAAGGACGTGAAAGAATTTATGAAATTTGTGGAAGAGCGCTCTCAAACTGCTGACAAATCTCTCACTGGGACATTGATGAGTACGTTGACCACCATGAAGTTTGATGGTTTTCGTAGTATGCATGAACACGTAATCGAAATGACAAATATCGCAGCAAGACTCAAGTCTCTTGGAATGGCAGTGGAAGACAATTTTCTTGTGCAGTTCATTTTGAACTCGTTACCGCCTGAGTATGGTCTGTTTCAGATGAACTATAACACCATGAAAGACAAATGGAATGTGCATGAATTGTACAGTATGTTAGTCCAGGAGGAGACCAAACTCAAGAACCTAGGAAGTCACTCTATTCACTACGTGAAAAATCAAGGAGCTAAAAAGAATGTTGTAAAGAAACATGGAAAGGGTAAAGGACCATTAAAGATTAACGAGTCCTCTACTAACATTCAGAAGAAAAATGACAAATGTCATTTCTGTGGGAAGTCTGGACATTTCCAAAAGGACTGCATAAAGCGTAAAGCTTGGTTCGAAAAGAAAGGTGAGCATAGGACTTACGTATGTTTTGAATCAAACTTAACTGAAGTTCCCCATAATACTTGGTGGATTAATTCTGGATGTATGACTCATGTTTCTAATGTAATGCAAGGATTCGTTTCAACCCAAACCATAAACCCAAATGAGAAGTTCGTCTTCATGGGGAATAAAGTCAAGGTTCCAGTGGAAGCTGTCAGGACTTATCGTTTAATCCTTGACATTGGACATCACTTAGACCTTATGGATACTTTTTATGTACCTAGTATCATTAGAAATTTAGTTTCTTTGTCTAAGCTTGATGTTATTGGATACTCTTTTAAGTTTGGGAATGGTTGTTTCAATTTCTTTAAGCGTACTTCTATGATTTGATATGGTTAGGAGTATGTTAAGTAATTCATGTTTACCTGTATCATTGTGGATGTATGCTTTAAAGACTATCATGTATTTATTGAACAGGGTTCCTATTAAAGTTGTTCAAAAGACTCATTTTGAGTTATGAAAAAGTAGGAAACCTAGTTTGAGACACTTGCTTGTTTGGGGTAGTCAGACAGAAGTAAGAATTTATAATCCGCAAGAAAAGAAACTGGATGCAAGAACAATCAGTTGATATTTTATTGGTTATCCAGAAAAATCAAAAGGGTATATGTTTTACTGTCCTACCCATAGTACAAGAATTGTTGAAACTGAAAATGCTCGATTTATTGAAAATAGTGAAATAAGTAAAGTGCAGTTTCACGAAATGTGGAGATTAAGGAAGTTAGAGTACAAGTTCCTGTAACTAGTACATCTTCTTCAAGAGTTGTTGTTCCACATGTTGTAGAACCGCATGACAATCAAGAAGAACAACAAATTAATGATCCCGAGATTAACAATGAACTGATAATAGAACAACCACAAGAAATAATATTAAGAAGATCTCACAGAGAAAGAAAATATGCTATTTTGAATGATTACGTGGTTTATCTACAAGAGTCAGAAAATGACTTAAGTATTGATAATGACCCAGTTTCATTTTCAGACGTCATTAATAGTGATAATTCTGACAAATGGTTAGATGCTACGAAATATGAGCTTAAATCAATGGCACATAATGGTGTATGAGATCTTGTGAAATTGCCAAAAGGATGCAAGAGTGTTGGGTGTAAATGGGTCTTTAAGACTAAGCGTGACTCTCATGGCAATATTGAACGTTACAAGGCCCGTCTTGTTGCCAAAGGTTTTACTCAGAAAGATGACATTGATTATAAGGAAACATTTTCACCTGTTTCTAAGAAAGATTTCTTTAGAATTATCATGACATTAGTAGCTCATTATGATCTTGAGTTGCATCAAATGGATGTTAAAACTATTTTTCTGAATGGAGATTTAGAGGAGGGTGCTTATATGAATCAACCAATGGGGTTTATTGAAGAAGGAAAGGAACATATGTGTGTAAACTTAAGAAATCAATATATGGACTTAAACAAGCTTCTCGACAATGGTATCTTAAGTTCAATTATACTATTATGTCCTTTGGATTTAAGGAAAACACTGTTGATCGGTGTATATATCTGAAGGTCAGTGGGAGCAAGTTTATATTTCTGATTTTGTATGTTGATGATATCTTGCTTGCAACTAATGATCTTGGTCTATTAAGTGAGACTAAGAAGTTTCTCTCTAACAACTTTGAAATGAAAGATATGAGTGAGACATACTATGTGATAGGAATAGAAATATTCTGTGATAGATCACAATGACTGTTAGGTTTGTCTCAGAAAGCATATATTAATAAAATTGTAGAGAGATTCAGAATGGAGAAGTGTTCAGCATCTCCCATTCCAATACAAAAAGGAGACAAATTTAATCTCATGCAATGTCCAAAGAATGACTTGGAACAGAAACAGATGGAAAATATCCCTTATGCATCTGTTGTTGGAAGTTTGATATATGCTCAAACATGTACGAGGCCAGATATTAGCTTTGCAGTTTGTATGTTGGGTAGATACCAAAGTAATCTTGGACTGGATCATTGGAAGACTGCAAAGAAAGTTTTAAGATACTTACAAGGAACAAAGAATCACATGTTTACTTATAAGAAAGATGATCACCTTGAGGTGATTGGATATACAGATTCAAATTTTTCTGGTTGTATGGATACACGAAAGTTTACATTTGGTTATGTGTATCTTTTATCCAGAGAAGAGATTTCATGGAAAAGTGCGAAACAGTCTGTCATTGCTGCATCCACCATGAAAACTGAATTTGTGGCATGATTCGAGGCTACAGTTCAAGCTAATTGGTTGCGGAATTTTATTTCAGGACTTGGAGTAGTCGACAGCATTGCCAAGCCGCTGAAAATTTATTGTGACAATTCTGCAGCAGTCTTCTTTTCTAAGAACGAAAAGTATTCCAAAGGTGCTAAGTATATGAAATTGAAATATTTTGCCGTTAAAGAAGAAGTTCAGAAATGTAGAAGTTCAGAAACGTAGAGTGTCAATAGAACATACTAGCACTGATCTTATGATTGCTGATCCTTTAACAAAGGGATTATCGCCCAAATTATTTGCTGGTCATATAATGAATGTGGGCATTATGTTCACTAGTGAATGTTGAATGTTAATGTTATTATTAATGCTTAAGTGACACTTTGAGATCTTTAATGTATAAGTTTCTGAATTTTGTGTTTTCTTCTTTATTTATATGCATGCAAATTATGATGAAGAAAACAAATTATGTTATTATTATTAAAATGACATTATGTTTGAACCCATTATGGACTTCTCATTATAAAGTCATATTAAGGAGAAAGAGATAATATAGTGGTACATGGAAGGGAGCCTGTCGATTGAATGACATGTAACCGCCATGACTCTTGTTATAGTTGTATCTTTAATTATGAATAATGATAGAACCAATTTATGTAAGATCCTTTAATGCGCATTATGACTTAAGTATTAAATCACATAACATCACATGAGTCAAGTGGGAGAATGTTAGAATTAATTTAATTAATTCATTCCATTATGTGACTCATGTGAAATATAATGATGAACCCAAATGTGATTTAATAAAATATGAGGACCTATTGGTTATTATGTGAAGTTAGAATAAAATAAAGATAAAATAAAATATTAACTTACGGTAACCAACTTGATGGACGTTGGTTAATTGAATGGAATAAGGGTTCTGTCTCTGGTCATAAGTTTTTTTTTTCACGATAAACCATCAAGAAAACGTGAGAAGAGAAAGAAAGACAAAGAGATAGATTGAGAAAAGGAGATTGAAGAACGAAAAGATTAAAGAATAGATTCTCATGGATCAAAGTTAGTCTTCTTGTTATGATTTATGTATTGATGTATGTTATATTATGAAAATCTATATTGTAAAAATCAATAATGTAAAGATGCTGGAGAGTAATTTTCCATGATGAATTAAGAAATTAGGAAAACTGATTAATGTTTTACATATGAAAGCTCAATGATCAAATTAAGCTTCTGTTTCAAGATCTGCATCCAGATTGTATAGTGAGTGATATGTGTTATCCTTGGACAGTGGAATCAGCGTCAGAACTGGGTATTCCAAAAATCTTCTTTTATAGCTCAAGCTACTTGTCCGACTGTGCTACTCATTCTATCTTGAGGCACAGACCTAATGAGAGGTTAGTCTCTGATACCGACAAGTTTACGATTCCTGGATTTCCTCATAGAATAGAGATGACCCGTCTGCAGCTACCAGACTGGGAAAGGATTAGGAATGAAATGTCAGGCTACTTTGTGCCAATGTTTGAATCAGAGAGCAGAAGCTATGGGGCACTCTATAATAGTTTTGATGAACTTGAAAGTGAGTATAAGCAAGTTCATAAGAGTATAGTGGGGATTAAATCTTGGAGTATTGGACCAGTGTCAGCCTGGGTTAACAAGGATGACGGACCAAAGGTCAATAGGGGACAGAAGGAGGACCTTACAGAAGAGCCAGAGTGCCTAACCTGGCTTAACACTAAGCGAGATGAGTCTGTACTTTATGTAAGCTTTGGAAGCCTCACTAGGCTCTCTCATGATCAACTTGTTGAACTGGCTCATGGGCTTGAACATTGTGGTCATAATTTCATCTGGGTCATCAGGAAAAAAGGAAGGAAGCGAGAATGAAGACAGTTTCCTGCAAGAGTTTGAGGAGAAGATGAAAGAAAGCAAGAAGGGTTTTATCATTTGGAACTGGGCACCACAGCTGCTGATATTGAATCACCCTGCTATAGGAGGCATTGTGACTCACTGTGGTTGGAACTCCATTCTTGAAAGCTTGAGTGCTGGATTGCCAATGATCACATGGCCTATGTTTGCAGAGCAATTTTACAATGAGAGGTTGCTAGTTGATGTGTTGAAGGTTGGAGTTCCGGTGGGAGTTAAAGAAAATAAGTTTTGGGCATCAAAAGACATGGCTCATGTGGTGGGAAGGGAAGAGATTGCCAAGGCTGTGGTACAGTTGATGGAAAAAGAAGAGGGAAGAGAAACGAGGAGGAGAGCAAGAAAACTTTGTGATGCTTCCAAGAAGACTATTGAGAAGGGTGGAGATTCTTACAACAACTTGATGCAGTTGATAGATGACCTTAAATCATTGAAGATATCAAAAGCACATAGCAGAAGCAGGTTAGATGGTTGAAATGGAGGAGCAATCTGTGGCTCTGAGAGGTGCATCTGGTAATTTTCTGAAGCCTTTTGATATTTAGATGGATGAACTACTTCCCAGTACTAGTGGAACTAATTATTTTAAATATGTAATGGGTGCTTCTTCAAGCATTTTTCTTCTGAGACAGAACAATCCTCTCTATCATGCACTTTACTATAGTTGCTTGAAGCAACTGAAAATTATTTTGAAATATCCTGTATTGGAAATGCTCTAATTGTTTATTTTTTGTCTACGTCATTTGCATATTTGATGACTTTAGCTAAGGAAAAATGTTAACATGCTACTTTGTAGCACACTCTATTGTGGCTACCGCGTGTGCCAACTCTTAGCATGTTTGTATCTCATGTAAGGGAGTTCTTAGAATGACGAATAAAGTTATGTTTGATTTTTCTATTGTGATGTTTCAAACTAATTTACACAATAACTTGAGTTTTATGACGTGTTTTAGATACTCTTATAAATTTGTTTATTATTAAAATTTTATATGTAAATTTAATTTTACAGAGGTAAAATGGGGATTGTTTCTAAAATATCTATTTTTCCTAACAATTAAGTTTGTAAATTTTAATATAAACATATATTTAATCAGTTATTTGTACTTCTAATTATTATTTTTCATTTTAGTTATATTGTTTATTTATTTTATTCACTTTGATCTTATTATTAATAAGAAGATTACTTAAGAATGTGATTAAAAATGGTAATCTTAAGATATATTAATTAATTAATAAAATTATAGAAAATATTCAAATAATTAAGTGTTTTTAATATAATTTAATTCCAGTTTTTTAATATAAATCAAGTATTTGCTTCCTTTAAAGTTAATAAGTTGTTAAACGGAAAATTACATCTTATGATGATCATGGTTACTTTCGGAGTTTATGAAAAAAAATTGTGACAAATGTGTTTACTAATAATCAAGGTAAAAAAAAAAGAAGTTTACTAATAATATTAAAAAATGTGTTTGTGGATTATTCTTATAAAAAGAAGGATGAAGGTCGTATGTTTGTATTAAGAGATGTTAAATTTTTTGAAAATAATTTTTTTTGGTACAATCCACTTTTTTTTTTACAATCCTGTTAATGAGTATGTTTATTGCCATGAATTTTGATGTTAATATTGAAGGTGATAATATTAAGAATGATGTTACTGATGATTCTGGATTTGCAAAAGATGAGACGACATGTGAGATACAGAAGGAAGAAAATTAGAAAATAAACTTCCTCCAAATAATGAGACAGAAAATGATAAATATTTATGAAAGTTCGAAAATATGTGACTAATACATTTGAAATAAAAAACCCGTTTCATTATTCTTCTATTCCACAACATAATTCAGGTGAACCTTATCCCATAATACATTATGTGAGTTGTGATAAATTTTCTTTGAACCATTGTAGGTTTCTTGATATAATAACTACCAAGAAAACTAATAAGCTATTTAGAGACAACAAAAGATGGTAGATGATACTCAGTCATGAGACAAAAAATACGAACACTTGAAAATAATAGAGTCTTGACAATATGTCTTGTACCAAAAGAAAGAAGACATTGGGATGCAAATGAGTTATAAGATTAAGTAAAATACATATGAAACTATAAAACATTTTAAAGCTTGATTAGTCATACTTAAAACTATCAAGTTAAAGGACTTTATTATACAAGACATTTGTCTATGTAGCAAAATGTTTATTGTTCAAACTGTATTGAAGTTCTTGTAGTAAAAAATTGGAAACTTCACCAAATACATGTTTACAATGTTTTCTTACATAGTGATCTTGGAGAAGAGGTCTACACGAAGATGTTTTGAAACAATATGAATTTTAACAATCTCTTTTTTATTTTTCTTATTCATTTTACAAAATGGTTTATTGTAACTTAATGTTTTAGTATATATTAATGATTTAATCATATGTGGAAACAATCCAATGATTCAAATATTACTTGAGCAAATATTTTCAAATGTAAGAATTTGAGAAAATTGAAATATTTCTTATGGGTAGAAGTGACTAGATCAATTACTGACATTTTCCTATGTTGAAGAAAGTATGTTCACTACAAGAAAAAAGCATTTTAGCGACCGAAAAAATCGGTCGCTAATGTCAAAAAATCGGTCGCTAATCAGTTAGCGACCGAAAGACGTCGTCGCAAAAAGCCAAGTCACTAATGTGTTAGCGACCGATTTTCATTTCGATCGTAAAATAGCGACCGATTTTATTTCGGTCGCAAAATAGCGACCGAAATTAATATATCAAATTGGTCGCTAAATCGGTGACAAAGTTAAAAAAATAGCGACCGATTTAAATCGGTCGCTAAATTAATGAAAAAGTTAAAAAAATAGCAACCGATTTAAATTGGTCGCTAAATTAATGAAAAAGTTAAAAAAATAGCGACCAATTTGAATCGGTCGCTAAATCAATGACAAAGTTAAAAAAATAGCGACCGATTTAAATCGATCGCTAAATCAATAACAAAATTACTTATTTTTATTTATTTACATTTTTAATTATATTTATTATTTATTTCCCCTACCTCTTTTTATATTATATTTTTTAGAAGTTTAACTTATTATTATGTTTATTGTTATTGTCAGAATTCAAACCCGAGTACCTTAGAGTTGGAGGTCGAAACTCCAACCATCTGAACTACTAGGATTTTTTAATAATAACTTACAAATAAATTATATTTATATACAAATAAATGTATATCCATATAAATATAAAATCTATAAATAAAAATATATTTATATATTTTAATATATATTTAAATATTAATATATTTATACATTGATATATTTAAATATTGATATATTTATATATTGATATATTTATATCTTTATATTTTTACATATATTTATATCTTTATATATTTATATCTTTATATTTTTACATATATTTATATCTTTCCATATTTATATATAAAGATATTAGTTTTGTATACAAATAATATTATAATATAGTATATTATACTGTTAGTATATAGTATACAAATTATATATTAGTATAGTATAGTATACAAATTATTAGTTTTGTAATTTATACACTATAAAAATAAATTACAAATATTATAACATAATGGTATATTAATATAATATAATACATTTGTATTCTAATTTTTAATTAAACTAAAAATTACGCTAATAATGTATAATAATATATGAAGGGATAATATTGATATATTGATATATATATATATATATATATATATATATATATATATATATATATATAATGATATATTTATATATTAATATATTTATATATTTATATTTTGATATATATATATATATATATATATTGATATATTTATATATTTATTTATATCCTTATACATTTATATCTTTATATATTTGAAAAAAATATTAAATTTTAAAAATAATATTTATATTTTTAAAAATAAATATCAGAAAAAGATTTAAAAATATATATAAATTATATTTACATGTACAAAATATTAAAGATATATATTTATATCTTTACATATTTACATATTTATATATTTATATCTTAATATTTTATATCTTTCAATCTTTACATATATTTATATCTTTATATCTTTACATATAGTTATATATTTATATCTTTATATATATATATATATATATATATATATATTTATATCTTTATATATTTATAAAATCTATAAATACAAATATATTTATATTTTTTAATATATATTTAAATATTGATATATTTACATATTTATATATTTATATATTTATATATTTATATATTTATATATTTATATATTTACATATTTATATATCTATATATTAATATATTAATATATTAATATATTGATATATTTATATATTTACATATTTATATATATTTATATATTAATATATTTATATATTTATTTATATATTTAAGAAAAAATTAAAAATTTAAATATTAAATTTTAAAATAATATTTTATTTTTAAAAACAAATATTAGAAAAAGGTTTAAAAATATATATAAATTATATTTACATGTACAAAATATTAAAGATATATATTTATATCTTTACATATTTATATATTTATATATTTATATCTTTATATTTTTACATACATTTATATCTTTATATTTTTACATATATTTATATCTTTCCATATTTATATATTTATATATAAAGATATAAAGATATTAGTTTTGTATATAAATAATATTATAATATAGTATATTATACTATTAGTATAGTATACAAATAATATATTAGTATAGTATAGTATACAAATTATTAATTTGTAATTTATATACAATGAAAATAATATAATGGTATATTAGTATAGTATATTTGTATTCTAATTTTTAATTAAACTAAAATTACGCTAATAATGTATAATAATATATGAGGGGATAATAAATTTAATCCAATTACTTTTATAAATATATAAATATAAAATCTATAAAATTTTAAAAATGATATTATATTTTTAAAAACAAATATTAGAAAAAGGTTTAAAAACATGTATAAATTATATTTATATGTCCAAAATATTAAAGACATCCATATTTAAAAAAAATACTAAAAAATATTAAAAGTTATACTTTAAATTAATGAAAATATTTAAAAAAAAGTTATATTTATTAAAGTATTAAAAAATATTTTGTAATATAAGTTAAAATAATTATCATTAAATTTTTTAAAAATTATTAGTTTTGTAATTTATATACAATGAAAATAATATAATGGTATATTAGTATAATATAGTATATTTGTATTCTAATTTTTAATTAAACTAAAATTACACTAATAATGTATAATAATATATGAGGGGATAATAAATTTAATCAAATTACATTTATATATATATATATATATATATATATATCCTTTTTTAATTTTTTTTTCTTTTTAAACTTCTCACATTCTACATTGTTTTTAAACTCTATCATTTTTACTATATTATCATCCTCATTTCCTCCCATATTCTATTTTTTTTATAATAATTAGTCTTCTTTTATAGAATACTTTATTTTCTATTTTTATTATTTATTTTCTTATAATTTAAAATAATTAATATTATTTTAACATTTATTTTTATGATTTTTACTATACTAAATCAAATTAAATGATTTGATAATATCAATTAATTAAAATCATCACATAAAAAATTTAGATAACTACATTAAAATTATTAATTTTAAAAATACAAAATATATTTAAAAAAAAAACTCAAATTATAGATTGGAAATAAAATAGAATAAACAAATACTCTTTACTTTATATTATATTTAAGTGTGTACACAAATGTTGACCTTCTTAACTATAAAGAAACAAGTAGAAAAATATAAAGATATTATTTGAAGAAGTGAATTTTGAAGATAAAGACTATTTTTATATAAATTTATTCTAGTATACCAATTAACAATAATAATACATAAAATTTAAAAACTAAACTAAAAAAAGTAAGTTTAAATTTATAAAAAAATACATTACTAAAAGTATCATATTATATTAAGATTTTCATTATTTTCGTTAATTATAAATTTAAATGTGTTTCATAAATAAAATTGTAAATTTAAATGTATTTCCACTTTTGATCCATCATAAATAAAAATAAATAGTCTCTTATAAATGTTGTTCTATTTTAATCCATCATTAAATTTGTTTTATATATGAATTTGATGACTTATCATGTTATTAAAAATTTGGATGAAATAATTATGTATAATACTTTTTTAATATATTATGTTTTTAAATTTGTTAATAGAGAAAAAGTTTCAGAATTCAAAATGTTAAATACTTTTAAATATTAAAATTGACTCTACAAAAAATTATGAAAAAAATAATTAATCCAAAAATATAATAATGATAAAAATATTATAAAAAAGAGTTCAAAAATGTATTATAATATTTTCAGTTTTAGTTTAATTATATTTTTAATTCTCAAAGTAGAAAAATATATTGTAATTATTTTAATTTAATAAAATATAATTTAGATTTTTAATAATAAAATTAAAATATTAAATAATAATAAATTTAATTCTTTAAATTTAGTATTTAGAAACTAAAATTATAGTTTCTCTCTTTTAAAAAATTAAAATAAATATTTAAAAATAAAAATTAAAACTAGTATTATCTTAAATTTATTAAAAGTATAATTAAATCTCTATTTTCTTATGTAATTTTAGAAAATTTTTAATGAAAATCTAATATATAAAAAAGTTAAAATTTTAAAAAGGCACAACCTTAATTTATATTAACTATTTTTAATATAAATTT